TTCTCCAATGAAAACAGGGATACCCTAAGGAAAAGTGGGACATTCTGGGATCAAATCAGAAACCGAGGCAGCTTCGCTAAATCAGGTGTACCTTTATAGTTTGGATCAAAGCAGATGATTTAGGACAAAATGAAAGCCAGATTTCATAATTTTAATTAGAGTTTTAAATGTAAATTATTTAGTGTTCATCAAATATGACTTGGTTTTAAATGATTCTAGGAATGTAATATAAAAAATATATTATAAATGCAGGGCGCCCAATCCACATACAGTGTACTGGGCCCAGGAAATCTTGTTGGCATTCCTGTTCATACCACAAGGTATAGTATATATTGTTTAAAATACATGTTGTATGTAAGTATAAAATAAAATGCCTCTTGTTTCTAGTTTGTGGCTAATACTGTATTTCAAGCTGAATAATCCTTGCTTTCCTTTTTTTAAAGGTGCAGAAGATGAAATAGGCCATGATATGCAATATATTTCTCCAGAATCTTATGTTCAACAAGATGATGATCAGCAGCAGGGATGGGTGTCGTGGGCCTGGTCGTTTGTACCTGCTATTGTGGGTAATGATGATGAAGAGGGAGACTTTCTTGGAATAGATGATGGAACAACAATGAATCAGCATAAATCGCCAGCAGTTAAAGATCCCATTGTTTCTATAGGATTTTACTGTACAAAGGCTACTATTACCTTCAAGGTAACATTAAAAACAAAAAACAAACAAAAAAACCAAACCATAAGTATATTTCTAGTCATTTTTGCAAAGTGCTCGGACAACAAAAATAGATGGCAATATATAGTCATTCGTTCTCATTGAGGAAAACAATGTATGCTGGTTCACATATAGTTGAATACCTTTAACAGTGCAATCCTACATATGTCTATCCCCCTGTCCCCCATGATTCCTACACATGTGTGGATCATCTGAAAGCTAAATTGGTTAGTTTTCAGATGATCCAAATGTGTAGGCATCAACTTTAATGCTTCCAGTCAAGGAAGCTGATTGATCATTGGGTGCTCACAGCAGATCTATGTTCTACTCGGGGGATATGAAGAAGGGAGCAAGTATATTTTCTCCCAGAGTACCAGTCTCAAAGCAATGGTTCTTCAACATCAACTTTGTTGGACTGTTCATGTTGTGCGGATGCCTGATCATCGTCTTCCAAAGCATCGTCTTCCAAAGCAACTACTCTATTCCAAACTTAAAAATAGAAAGTGTAATGCTGGTGGTCAACAAAAGAAGTTTAAAGACTCTCTCAAGGCAAATCTTAAAAAATGTAGTATAAACACCAAAAATTGGGAAACACTTGCCTATGAGAGCTCCAATTGGAGAAAAGCCTTTACCAAAGGTGTCATGCGCTTTGAAGACACTTGAAGTCAGGACGCAAGGGACAAATGTGCTAAGAGGAAGGCACGCTTGGCAAATCCACACCGTGATCAGCTCCCGCCCGGAAACCTATGTCTCCACTGTGGAAGAATGTGTGGATTCAGAATTGGCCTCTACAGTCACTCACGGACTCATTGTTAAAACCGTGTTTATGGAAGACAATCTTACTCGACTGCGAATGATCACCAAAGAAAGAAGAAGAATGTTCTACTCTGGGGCTATGAAGAAAGGAGGGAGTATATTTTCTCCCAGAGCACTCACATTCTTCACTATCCATGCATTTGTTCATACCTTTGTTATTTTGTACAGTAGTTGCCTGATCCTGTCAGTCACTTCTTACAGCAGACTTGTAGGATGAGCCTGCCCAGTTCAAGAGGAAAAGGGCACTGCAGCACTGTAAAAATATGTTTTATTTGTAATCTAACATGGAACCCAGTGGCCTCAACTCTAGTTCGGATATTATTCCCACTAAATCTCATAATAAACTGCTAGTGTATACAGCGTCCAGCAAAGTAGGTAAAACCCATTAAAGGAGACTTTGTTTTTATTCTTGTGCATTTAGCATTATACATTACAATAATTTTACCACATCCTAACATCTTGAATGTTATATTTTTTACACTATAAAATGGTATGCATAAGAGAATTATGCTGGCACTTAGAAGGAAAACATTAGAATTCATTGTTCTGCTTGAATGCTAAGAATGTATGGAATTAATTTGTGGTTCATATTTTGGTCAAAAACAAGCTCAGGTTTCTGCATTAGCATTCTGAATAGCTGATACCACTCCAGCTTAAAAAAAACCCCATGCCAAATTAAATGTTGCATTTTCCTAATAATGTCGAAAATTGTTCTTGCAATGTTTGAGTTCTTTTAATCAATTAATTGCTTTTCCTCTACAATGATTGCAGACAGCTGAAGGGCGGGTTTTTAAATCCTGTTTTCCTTGAGCATTTGCTTTATAGAACTTAGCTTCAAAACAGCAACCATGTGTACACCCAGTTGGAAATAGCTAAGTAATGAGAGCTTCTAGGAATTTTATGTTATAAGAAAATTAGAAGGAATTATTTCAGCAGTTAAAGATGCCAGAGTTAGGAGCTGTTAGGGCTAAACATTTAAATGTTTCATTATTTTGCCCTTGTTTAATGAATGATGTTGAATAGTCAAAAGTACACTATTGATCTCTTTTTGCTGCTTTATTCATGGTGATCAGAGCATAGACAAAAAGGTAGTATATTTACTTATGATTGAGGCTTGCAAGGGTTGCTTAAGTACATCCATCTTGTGAATTACTTCCTATGCTATTATAATAAACTGTCAAGTTTATTCTGTCAAGTTCATAAACTGAGTTGCACCTGCGTATCTGTTAGATTACCTTTTTATTCATTGTTTATGTAACCGAGAAACTAAAAATGTTTCAGTGTTGTTGTTTTTTTAAATTGTGCCAGTACATAGATTAAAGTTGTTATTTTCTAGTGTGGATAATATATTGCAGCTGTTTTAGTGCACCTGTTTCCTGCCCAATCATAATCACCAATAGTAAAATTTAATTTGTCATCATCTTTTCTACACAGTAATAATAACTTATATGCAGCTAATACTAATGTTGACTAATGGTAAGTGTTTGGCATATTGTTACACAGCTCACAGAAATGCAAGCTGAAAGTAGCTATTACAGCCCACAGAAAGTAAAATCCAAAGAAGTAATATGCTGGGAGCAAGAAGGAACTACAGTAGAGGTAATTTTCCATTACTTCTGTATATTTATAGTAGATTTCTTGGCATCAGTATTTATTTCATCAGAATCATTACTTTGTACTGGCAGTTGCAGTATTGATTTTATATTCACTCATTATTGGATGGCTATAATAAAAACATAACTGAAATAGAGCCATTCTTGGACTTTAGCTGTAGTACACTAGGCAGTAAATAATAAGCTCTCAAATCTGGTGTACATTATTATTGTGCTTTTACTTCATTTGTTTCTTAATTAAGTGCAAAAAATGACCACAATATTCCTGCTTATACATTCATCCACATAAATATTAATTTTGGATAGATAGGTGTGCATTTATGTATTAGATTCAGACCCTGCCTTTCGTTCCAAAGGTGCCTAGGGTGGCAAACAAGGCATAAGACGATAAAAACATATTTAAAAAATCTTAAAAAACAATTCCAGACTGGGAAAATATCAACTTAGAAGCTTTGTTGATAGATGAGAATCTTCAGTAGGGGCCGGAGAGACAACTTAGACAGTGCCTGTCTAATATTCAAGGGGAGAGAATTCCAAAGGATAGGCTTGGAATAGCCTTGATTCTCATTTTTCTCTTCTGTCCTTGTCCCTTGTCCTGTTTGTTTTCTTTTCGTTTAGATTGTAAGCCTGTGGGTAGGAAATGTCTTGTTTTGATTTTATGTAAGCCTCTCTTGAAGTGGAGTGCAAATGCTATAAAAAAATTAAAAAAATAAGAATAAAGGCAACAACATGAAAGTTAGATAGGTGAACCCAACAATGTGTTGGTTCTTGGCTAGAAGCTTAACTCTCTTCCAGTTTCTTTATACACACTCAGCATGTTAACATTTTTTCCCCAGGTCCTCATGAGTGGAGAACCTTTCTTTGATTGCCAAATAGGCTTTGTTGGTTGCCAAGCTCTTTGTCTCAAAGGAATTATGGGAATTAAAGATTTTGAGGAGAATATGAATAGAAGTGATGCGGTAAGTACAAGTTACGCTTTGCTAGCTTGCAGACATGCTTTGTTAAAAGAGGGCATAAAATATTTTTACAATTTTTCAGAAGAACCCCAAAAGCCGCATGACTGGCTCACACAAAAAAGACAGGTAGCCGTGTTAGCCGAATTAGACAAATCATGAGCCTCGGCTCACATGTAATACTAAGCCAAATCATGGCTTAGCCCTTGGTAGTGTGGCAACAGCAGAAGCGGGGCGGTGTGGTAAGGAGTGAAGAAGCTGCAATTTCCAGCTGTCTACCAGCAAACTTGCTTGTTCATGCTTAGCTGCGGTTTGGCTTATCATTGTGCAAAGACCATGGTGGGGAGGGGGGAACAGTTTCTTCAAGTACCATGTTTATAAAGAAGAAATCAAATAACATGTTCTTTTGTTTGTTATGTTTTGTTACTATCTTTCTATTCCCGCTGATATATTTTTCCCCCTTTTATAAAAGGAGGCCTACTTTTTCAACTGTGGTGAAAATCTGAGCACAAAAGGGATGACATACCTCACCAATTCACTATTTGATTACAGAAGCCCTGAGAACAATGGTGTCCGTGCAGAATTCATTTTGGATGCAGCCGCTCATAAGGTCTTAAATAAGTTTTCTTTTAAAATTTTGGATTTGTGCTCAGTGTTCATATCCTGTTGCTTATTTTGTCCACATCTATGTTCAGCAGCTCTGATTATGGAGTCAGTGTTAACACCTTATTTCTACTAAAGTATTTTGTCACTTAATGAGTAGATGAGTTATGTCACAATGAGCTGCTTGATTTTACTTTTCTTGCACATTTTACTTGAATGCCTAGAGGCCATAACTAATTTAGACCTTAGTCTTCTTAGATTAAGCCTTATTGAGCTAAGTTGGAAAATGATTATTCGATAGCTGGGATAGCTCAGTTTGTAGAGCATGAGACCCTTAATCTTAGGGTCATGGGTTTTGAGCCCCACGTTGGGCAAAAGATTCCTGCATTGCGGGGGGTTGGACTAGATGGCCCTCGTGGTCCCTTCCAACTCTAAAATTCTATGATTCTATGAATGAACCACTTTTAGGGCTTCCACTGGGATAGAAATTTGAAGAGTAAATAGATAAGAGTCAGTCTTTAGTAGTGGGCAAAGGCACAGAGTGTTCAGTCCTGAGAAGAGAGACCATGGTTCAAATCTCCTTCAGCTATGAAGCTCACTGGCTAATTATTGAAGAGTTTATCTCTTTCAGCATACGCTACCTTTAAAAAGTTGTTGTGAGTAAAAATGAGAGAACTGAGAAAGCTGCCTTGAGCTTCTTGTAAGCAGGGCAGGAACCTGATAAAAATGAACATAGCCTTAAGGCTTATTCCCCCCTATAAGTTTTTGTACTCGGGCATGTGTATCAGAGTACAAATTGCTCAGGGTCGTATTCAGCTATGTTTTACTCAGAGTAAACCCATTGAAATGTATTAATATTGACTAAGGTCCATAAATTTCAATGGACTCTGAGTAAAACAGCCTCCAAGTTTTCACTCAAATATAAAGAGGCAGCAGAGGTAAAATTAGATACCTCTTCTTTTAAAATATTCAGTAGTATGGCTCAGATCCATTCCTAGTTGCCACTTGCAAGTACTTTAGAGAGCTGCAGTTGATAGGAAACTGTGAATCTATACTCAAGTCTAAAATGCTGAAATTAATACATTAAAAACTCTTTAATCCTTAGTGTGTCTGCACGTTGAACTGGATTGTCCTTCATATTTGGTTTCTCTGTTTTTGTTTTTTAATGAGATGTGCCCTTGTGAATTGGACTAAAGGTCCATTAAGTCTAGCTTCATTCAGTGGTAAACCACAACAGCACAAGCAGGGCAAAAGCTTGTAAACCACAGCCTTCTTTTGCTGTGGATCCCCAGCAACTAGAATTCAGTAGCATACTTCCTTTGAACATGAAAGTTCTATATAGCCACTGATAGATTTATCCTCTGTGAATTTGTCTAATCCCTTTTTCAAGCCCTCTAAGCTTGTGACCATTACCACATCTAATTGAAGTGAATTCCATAAATGAATGATGTGAATAAATACATTATTTTGTCTGACTTGAATCTATCAATTTCATTGGATGATCCTGAGTTATAGTACTATGAAAGGGAGAAAGACTAAACTTTTCCCACACCATACATCACAACATTATGCTGTCCCTTTAATTGCTTTCTCCTGAAACAAAAAAGCTCAATCTTGTAATAAAAGTGTTCAGCTCCTGAGTATTCTAGTTGCCTTTTCTGTGCCTTTTATAGCTCTATGATGCCTTCTTTGAGTTGCGGCAGTCAAAACCACACACAATTTTCCAAATGTGGCTGCACCATAGATTTCTACAAGGGCATTATGATATGGGCACTTTTATTTTTAACCCCTTCTTAATGACATCTAACACAAAATGTACCCTTTTCACAGGTGTTGTAGTGGTTGATGTTTTGACTGAGCTGCCTGCCACACAGCTCAAATTGTTTGCTGGTTAGTCATCACCTATTTGCGAAGTTAGGATTTTTTTGCTGCCTTTTTCATCGTTTTACACTTTTTCATATTGAGCTGCAATTCCCATTTTGCTGCCCATTCACCTAGTTCACATAGATTCTTTCAGAGCTCTTTATAGTCTGGTTGGGATAAATTGGTATTATTCATTAATCTGGCCTCAACTCACTGCTCATTCTTAAATCCAAACCATTTCTGAGCAAGTTAAAAAGCACTGGTCCCAATACACATCCTTGTGGGGCATCACTCTGTTTTTTTTAATGTGTTTATATTATATACTTCTTTTTAGTTTCCTCATCCTTCATAGAGCAGGAGAACAGAGAAACACTGAGAATTCCATGTATCTCATTACTGCCCAATAAACTCATTTTGTTAAAGCTGCAAATTCTCCTTTTATTGGTAGTAATAATAGATTCCATTTACTTAAATGTCAACCTTCATGTCTAATGACGTGATTAGAATGTTACTTACGACTCACTGCTTCCTATGGAGACAAGAGCAAACAAATACCTACTGAGTCCAAATAAATCTGATTGTTTTCTAGCTAGATGTCCTAAAATGTTTCGGAAGTAGCAAATGTTAGATATGAAGTTTGCCCTAGTCAGCTGGTTTACTAGTGAGTGAGAGGTCAAGCTGAAATAATTGACTCCGCTAAAGATACTAATTAACTAGCTGCTTTGGAAAAGTGGACAAAACATCCAGAAGAGTTATAGATGTCCTTTTGTGTGGTCTGGTCTAGATGTTGCATTAGCTATCTGAAGGATGAATTCTTTGGCTAACCTCTGTCCTTTGTTTTGATAAGGTTTACCAAGTATTCATGCACAAACCCAAACAAGTATATATCTCTAGTACTTGACTATAGCCCTGATACCATTGGGTTGTAATCTCAAGATTCTTTCTTAAGAGAACATTAGTTGTATGTACTTTGCTTTGTTGGTAGGAGATGTACACAGAGATAGCTGGAATGCAGAGGTTTGGGGCTTTCTACATGGATTATCTGTACACAATGGAAAGCACCAGTGGCAAAGGTACTTCATTGCTTTGTTTGCTTACTTTTTGAATAACAGAAACAAAGGCTTCTTCAGAGGCACCTGACAGTCCTTGACCGACTGTCCTCAGATTTACCTTTTTGACCTATTTTAAAATCTGGATAGACTTGCTGAAAATTTTGAATTCTAGCGTGCTTGTTTGCTTATATACCCCTTTTCCTGACTTTGCCCTAAGAAATACAGCAATGTGCAATTTGATATGACTGCTTTGCCCATGTGCTTTGTTATCGTACAACGATTTAGCTTGAGAAAATCTGGGTTCAAATTGCTGTTCAGCAGGGTTGTTATGAAGGCAAATCTGGAGGTGGGCAGAAGAAGATCCTTGCTGATTCCCTTAACCCCTGTGCTACACCTTACTGTTCAGCAAATGTATTTTAAGGCAGCTTTGCAAACTTTATGCTGGCTTAAAGGAAATAATCCAGCCTGCAAAGGAATAAACTGTGATGATTATGATGATGATCAATTAAATTTGTATACTGTCCATTTAAGATGATAGGGCAATTTACAACGTTAAAATGCAGAATGAGAACGCAAAATACCTAACAAAAACAAACCAGTAACTCTCTGGGAGAGCATTCCATAAACAGGTGATGATCAGAGAGTTTGGGTTGGTTCATATGGAGAGATTACATTAGAGAAAGACAAAAGCTTCTCTTCTGTGTGTTTATATTATAGTTACAACCAGTGCTTTTTTTCTAGAAAAATAGGTGTCGGTACTCACCGTGAAGTTGTTACAGTGAGTGCCACACTTTTTAACAACAAAAAAGACGTGCGAGTACTGCGTATCCTTGAGTACCCCCTGAAAAAAAAGCACGGGTTACAATATTACTTACAGTGGCATCCTATGCATGTGTAAGCAGCAATAAATAATGGATGCCTTCACAGTATTAGGGCAGATGAATATGATCTGCTTTATATTAAGGGCAGGAGTCTAATAATCTCTCCAAAGTCAAGGTCCTTCAAAGTGAAGGATATGAACAAGCCTTGGGCTTCCTTGCTTGCTTTCCGCTTCCCTCTATGAGGAGGAGACTGGAAGCTCCCATTTCTGTTTTAGGTTAACCAGAATTTAGAGCCCTATCTGAACTATGCTCTTAGTCCACCTCAGTGTGCAAGGGCTCTGCGTGATCAGAGCACTCATGCTTATGGGTGTTCTAGTTATGTGGAGTCCCTGCACATGAACAGGGGTTTGCATGCTGGGTCTTCTTTGTAGACAACTGTGTTCAATGTGAAGCTGAAGGAGGAGACTTGATATGTTTGGGGCAGTACTAAAGGCATGGCCCTGCTACCAATAAAGTACAGCATTGCCCTATATCTGAGTAACATAAATAGGGTGGGAACATACAGTGGTGGGAAACTTTTCCTAGCTCAAGGGCTGCATTTCTTCCAGGGGTTGCATGCCACTGGTGTGCAGAGCAAGTCCTTCCAGGGGCAGAGCAACAGATGTGTCTTCTAACTTTGTACTGTAGGATACATTCCACCCATGCAGAAGTTAGAGATTTCTGCGGGCCCCCCCCCCCATTTCTTTGTCTTCCAACAAAGCAAATGAGGCATTTTCACAGCTTGAAAGCACATTCCGGCCAGGCAGAAGCACTAAGGAGGGTACTGAGCAGAGCCTGGAGACAGCCTCAAGAGTTAGAGGTAGAGGCCTGGAGGATCTACATTTGACTCCCAAGCCTGAGGTTTCCCAACCCTGACTTAAACATGTTGTAAATTGTGGTTAATCTTGACTGTGACCAAAGTTCTAATGAACTTGAAATCAAAGCAGCTTTCTCATCCCATTAAGTGGTTATTTAAAAACATCTGAGTTGGAGTTGGCAAAAAAGCATGTGCACTATGGATATGGGTGGTTTAAAACCCTGTCTCCAATTTTGAGTATATAGTGTAGTACAGTTGTTGAGAGCATGTGATTTGAGCTTTAAGCCTCCAGTTTAGTTTTCAGCTCAATATTGCTATTCACCACCTACTTCATCTTTCCTTCTGTAATGGACATGAAGAAGGAAAAGTGGGCCTCCCTGTGAAAATGCATTGGTGATCTTGCTTGTATTAGTTTATCCTGAAGAAACAAAGTGCAGTTAAGGCTATTGTGTGAGTGTTTATAGCTAACCACTGATAATTGCAAGAAATGGTTTTTCATAGGTAGTTTTTTCTGTCTCTACCATTGTCCCAATCAGTGTTAGAAACTGAGATATGAAAGCTAGGAGTTAAATTACCTTAAACCTATATCATGGGTGCAACAACGGAATGTCTAGGCACACTTTTTTAAAATAACAATAATACAAAGCTGAAAATGAATGAACTGCTGCTAAAATCTTATATTCATTTTTCACATGGTCTAGTTCTCATCAGAAGTCTGCAAAAAGCAAAGCCATGCTTCCCCTGCCCTCCCTGCTAATGTTCTTAGAGAGTGTCTAGAAGTG